GCAAGAGACAGCCGAGGTAGTTTGAAAGTTCTTCCTATTGAAAGTAAATGAGTGTGTTAGGATACTGTCCGGGTGCGAAAGCCTAGGCGTAACGGCAACTGGGGTTCCTAACCAAGGAGCTTGACCCAAGCCTCCAATTGCTGGGCAGCAATTCTTGGCATAATATCACTACACTAGTCTTCAGTTTGCAGGGCGTGCAATCACAGTTACTGCTCTCTTCCCCTAAATCAGGGAAACAGAACTGGTCCTAATAGCTTTAAGTTTGGAGTTGTGAGCCTCAAGGAGTTTTATTTCCTCGGTATATCAAGTTCTATTTTTTGAGTACATGACTTGATGCTTAATTTGTTTCTCTACAATTTGTTACCTCAGTCCTGATGCCCGTACCTGCCTATACTGGCAGCTTCGTCCGTTTCTGACATTCATATGAGACTGAATTCTAGACATCACTAGAAAATGACACATTCGAGCTAACGAGTCTGACGGCGGCGAAAATTCAACTATGGATATTGAAGTTGACGTCCTGGGAACAAGAACAGTAACCGCATTAAAATACACGTAGTTTGAATGAGCAATACAATAGAATTCACTCTTGTCATAACCAATCTGGAGTAAAGCTTGAAGAATTCAGTTCAAGTAATTAAAACGGGTCACCGAATTTAACCGCTCGAATCCAATAGTACCACTCGATTCGTCTGCGAAGACAATGAGATGATAGGGCCAGAACTTTCACTTGAACTGATACATAGCAGTGTGCGGTTACACTCAACCTCACTCGCCCCAGGTAGGGCGGAACCAGTCATGTCAAGGGGATTCAGCAATCTTACGAGTGGTGTTCTGTCGGGAGAGCGAGCTCCATTGTGGTTCTAAGCGTAATTCGATGGCTTTCACATAAAAGGATTGTTGCATGTCGGAGCGTCCGGAAATCCATGGCAAACATGCTTCCAATGCATTCTTGTATATTACCATGGTGGGACATTGAATAGGACCGATAGGTGGTTTTTCACGAAGCACGGACTTAGTGGAGTTATTTCTCATTTACAAGTTGAGCTAAAAACTTAGGTCAACAACCTGATCCTTGGATTTGGGGGAACAGTAAGCAATAACTGATCAAATTAAAAGACATTCCAGATTGATGGACGAGATTTATTACTCAGCGCTGGACACTTCGGTTGCTTCAGTTAACTATTAAATTACGTTTATTTTGCATCATCTGGTCGACGAAATATGGGGAAATAGGGTGAATCAACCCCACAGCATCACATGCACGACATTTTCCGCGCTTGTCTTCCAAAAGTTCAACATTCCGTCTATTTCTTCGCGAAAGTAGTTTTTCCATGCTTTCTTTGTCAGTCCTATTTTTTCGCGAATTTACACGCATTCCGCCATGCACCTGGTAACAATATATCTCCTACAAAAACTAATCTGACTCTACCGTTCTCATTCCGACAGCACAAAGTTTTCTTTGTGATGATTCGTGTATCATAAAAGATGAAGAGACAGACTCTGTTGAATAAGCTTATGCAGTCACCATCGATGCATGGTTACATGTCTCGCGTACTGATTTTCGGAGAAATAATTTTCAGCTTAGGTAGAAAAATCCCATTAGCCGCCAAAATAACCATAAAGAGCTGGATTCTTGTTTAATTCAGTCCAGAGTTCGTGAGTGACGGAACAAACCTTTTTGTGACCCTTGTTGAGTGTTCCGTTGAAAGTCTCGTTCTCATTGTGAGCAACGTCAAACTGAAAATTTTTGGCCCCATAGTACACCAGGCGGTAAACCTAAGAGGATTCCATAGTGGTAGTGAAGAAATGCAAAGCCTCGACCATGTAGCCGAGACAAACAACTGGTTTGACAATAACCGACCGCTATGATTCTTTGGTATTCAGCGTTTTTCTCTTTATCACCGCAACGAGTTGAGTTCTTCCTGAGTCTTCCTGAGTCTTTTTGTCCAGGCATTTATCGTTGTCCTCTACCCCCCACAAGGCTCCCAACTTAACTTATGACTTCAACCACAAATGACGCTCCCGGAAAGTGATAGTTCGTCTGCTCCCAAACTTAACGGCGTCCTTTACATGAAGGGATAATCCATCGCTATGTAGAAATTCCACAATCGTGAATACCGAAAGGTAGGTTCAGGACGTAGGGTGCGGTTTTATCCTAGGAATACTGCGCCCAAAGCTTAACTGGATAGCAACGAACAAATAAACTATAGCTATATAATTTGTTGTACATTCCCTTCTCAAGACCCCAAATTCCACTCCTCAGGGAAAGAACAGCTAATGCATATGAAAGCACAGAGTGAGAACTGAGGTTCATTGAGTTACGTGTTCAGTTCGGCCAATACTAAACTTTTTTCAAGCATCCTGATCAATCGGTTATGTCCACAGCTTGACCGGACATCGTGTTGGCTAGACTGTGAGCAGGCCAAATAACAGAAAGAGGAATTCGAACTGAGAAGAGATGGGTTTCTGCATTCAAAATGTGACTTGCATAACCTGAAATCTGGACTGAAACTTGCGGAATAAGGTTACACGAAGGAAGCACTTTCCCCTACATCTGCTGAAAATATCGAAATAATTCGCTAACTGTTTGATGAGTCGCCAAATTTCACAGATTCTATGCTATTTCCAACTCTATTTCCAAATATCGCATTTCAAGGTACAAGTTAAATTTCATGAGTCATCGAAAGACCATGGGGCCAGTAACTGCTTGTTACAGGTGCAGCAACAAGCTGATTTTATTGTCAGCAATGTAGGCTATTGTTGCTCGATTCCTAAAAAAAACACCAATTGTTGTCAAAAGCTTTCCATGCCCGGTGCACTTGGCCTAATGGTTAAGGTACAAAGAAAACAACAGACCTCGATAAAACATCCGAAACAATAGTACGAAATTCCACTCGTTGTAACAAATATTTTAAGGAGAGCTTTGGCAGAACCTGCAGAAGGATGCGGATCAATATAAATTATCATAGCAAACGCAACACCTATCGCTTTCCTTGAGATCCGTCTATAAACAATAATAAAAATATTACACAAATATTTGAATCTCACTGCAAGTCGGATGGAACATGACAGAGTAGGGGAACCGAAATAACATGCTAGGTTGAAGTGGAACATGAGGAAACCTTCTGTCAGCATATTCAGTTGTGGAACGTCATAAAAAAGAGAATCAGCTGGAGCGAAATGCACTCATGTGCATACCAATTTGGTTTTGACGGGAGACTCACCTGGAACCCAGCTGAATCTCTCGTTTGTGACTCAAATGGCTTCAGCTGAGTCACCCGTTGAAACCAGAGTAGTATGCAAGTGAATGTATTTCACGAACTTTTATAGGTGGCCATTATACTGTTCCGTACCAACAATTTGAAACGTGAATAGTCACTCGAATTTGCACGTCACCGGTGAATTTTAGCAATATTTAATTTGAGTGGAAGCCATATCCTTTTCCGTAAAACTTTTTCCAATACTTTCAACTCATATAAAGTAAATGGAGGCCTGAGCTGATACTTGAGTTTCGCATTGAGCCTCGGTGATTTTATTACAGTTTCTTCACATATGGCACGCATTTTAAACTACACGCGCTAGCAAACGCACAAACGGTACAAATGCACTTCTCCGATTTACTGCCAGAATGTGGTTCTGTTACATGATCTAAAGAATTGATATTTTGTTTGCTTTTCCCTTCAGCGAGTGATATGGATCTGGGTTAAAACTGTTAAAAGATCATAAGTATTTGATCAAACCTCGTGTCCGATAGACACCTCATACTTAAGACGACTGTGTGTCAAGTCTAACCTGTTCGTGTGTATGTTGTAGTGTTTATTTTGCAGCCGTACAATAACCGTATTGTTCCATGTGTGTACAGAAGTGGACGTCCTATTACAGGTACCTCGGAAGCGGTGGCTCGTTCAAAATCCAAAAAAAAACCATCAGTTCACAATTAGGAAAGGCACTCGTTATTTTTATGCGTTTGAATTAAGTTCATTGAAAAATGAACCTTTTTAGGCGAAAATGCTGCAAACTACTGTAGTATGTTTAGCACATTTTAGCTGGTTTGACCACTTGACTATATAGTTTCTTTACTAGCAGCTTCTTTCCTTGGGTCGAAAGACGGTTTCATAAGGCGAGATCACGAAACCACGTTACCACCGCGTTCCTGGCCCTCGCGTCACACAAGCGTACCTAAATTCACGACATTTACTACCTTTTCCTTTTCGCTAACCATCTCTGGTCGATAAAACTTCGACCAAGGTGTTCATAAAATATCTCCCAGAACAAGATATCTTTTACCACAGCCAGCTTGCACGCCCATCCGATTTCCTTTCCCATGACGTGCACTTCAATTAACCATATGACAGTGCACGAGCCTTTCAGCGTCGGTTGGCGTTGCCAACTATTGATTGTGACGATCGATCGACCCCTTACGGTCGTCGTGGTCGTCTTTCCGGTCGGCATTTGCAGGGTGCTGACCTGGCATTCGGCTAAAGTGCCCTGACGTGAGTGTGTACGCTTGTGTGAGGGGTTGTGTTGTGGATGTAATCCTGGCCGTTCTGGTGTGCGTGTTTTCGTGTCCTCCCGGTTTGTACCAGCCCACATGTTTCGCCTTCCGTGTGTGCCCGAGATGTATGTGCAATCAGCCGTACACCATATGTTCAGCTTTTGAATCCATAGAAAAAGCAGTATTTGCGCTAGGCATGAACAGCTACAAGGACCAATGCAGCGAGTAACAGTTGGCCAATCATTTCTGACGGTCGTTCGATGGGATACCCCAGAAGAAACACGTTCCACCCCATTCTGGCCAATCACAACGGTCTACCCCGGGGTTTCCATTCTGTCACGTAGGAAGTTTGATACCCATGTGTGAGTGTGGCAAAGGCCCAGTTAAACCATGTGTGTGTGGGCTAATGGTTGATAAACAGACTGGCCACCCTTAAATAGTGGACTAAATTGAATTCTAGCAGACCACTCGAAAACCAACATTGAACGGCAAGCAGGGAAACGTGCACTGAGAATAGAATCTGTGGATTTCAAGTATAACATATCCCAACACAAACATTGTGAAACAGCTCAGGTTCCGTTTTACTCAAAGCAGACTCAGTTGTTGAATGACCCAGTTTACTCACCACCAAGAAACAAGTGTGAATTTTCCCAATTTACAAGCTACCGCAGTGAAACGTACAACTCCTGTTTGGCAACAGGTCCTTTCTGGAATTCGAGTGTGATACTGACCGACGGGGAATTTGTCACCCGATCGGTTCAGTTTATTGCTGAATTTCGTTGTGTGGAGTAGAAGACCTAATCAGTTTTCCCGTCTTCCATCAGAGATCAAACAAGTCCATCAAATTGTTTGATTCTACTGCTCCCGAACCACTACCATGTCTGATAACGAAGGTGCTTCAGATTCATCAGATTTCTCTGATGGTTACCCAACTACTACAACAATAAGTACAGTCGCTGTTCAGGCAGGAGATGCTCGAATCGTTCTCGCCGTATTACGAGTAAGTATTGCTTTCACGTGGAACATTTTGGTACCTTGGCTATTCACCTAGCTCCACTCAGTTTGTAGTACGAATAGCAAACAGTTATCCGCGTCAATTGTGTTGTGAGAAGACTTCGTAATTTCCAGTGAAGATTTTATTCAATAACTGGAACAGTCTGTGCTGAAAGGCCGAGAAGCACTGTAGAACTGATTTGTCCTCAGCAATGTGCATCCCACGGACCCCTAAGGATTCCCGAACCCCAAGCCTTTCAACCAGTGGTTGAATAGTTAACCGTATAGCAACAGGCGGTTGAACAGTGGGCAATTAGCTTGCGCTTATTCATCAACCTAGCTTGTTTATGGCCATATTTTGTCCACACATCCGCAGCTGAAATACACATCGTGAAAGGTGTATTAGGGAAGGATACATTTAGAGAAACCTAGCCTGCACTATTTGTTCCGAAAACTACAAGCCAAGCCAGGAGGACGTCAGACGAAGAACCTACTCCGAAATTTCTTGAGGACAGCCTCAGGTGCAAACATAATTAAAAAAGGTTTGATAAATCAAAATTTTGGAACCCAGATTTCCACTGTGCACGATGCGAAAGCATCCAACATCCACTGGCATACTCCATTCCAGTGTATTTTGTTGGACACGACACGAAATAGTGACTCAAAAACTGAAGATATCACATTTTTATGGTAGCCCAAACACAGTTCACGGATTCTATTCTACCGAAAGAACGGAGAAAGATAACCTAAATGTAAATTCCAGACGTTGATAGCTCTCCTCTATCCACTTCCTTTGCACGCCTCCATGTAGGTGATATCGAATGACTTGGTACAGGAACTTGAGCCAATAAGTGACTGAGAGCGATTCAAGGTGCACGATCTAGGAGCTGTTTTGTTCAAAATGGCATTCAAAATGCAAAGTAGACATTCCTAGACTATTTTGATTTATTTACCACAAAGTCAGTAACTTTGCGTCGTCCGCGATTCCAGGACAGCTGGTCAGACTAACTTCAACCGGAATAAGTTCATTTAAGTAAATCCTCAGGTGATGGACGGTCGGACTAGTCATGAAGGCATGTACCGGAAATCGAAAAAGCAGAGGAGAGTAAATTTTGGATCACGCAGATGTGTTGTATCTGTAGCGTGTCCTGAATTGAAGCATGAACCGATCTTGCTGCACCCGGCAGTTGGATCACTGACGTTGGATCGCCAACCAGTAATTTGGCTATGCCAGATATGCTGAAACCGCAAACACGTTAGAGGGTAAGCACTCGCGGTAGCAACCAAAATCACCGGGCCTATAAGTATCCCACTGAGACAGGCACTCAGCTTTCTAGCTCAAGAAAGAACTTTACACAACCAATGTAACCAGAATTGTTCTGTTGTCTATTTGGTTGATTTCCAGCTTTCCAGACCTTGTTTAAATCACTTTACCTCATAATTCTTATTCCGGAACCGAAGTGGTTCGCAACATTCGCAATTCTTTCGTGGTGATGTCATAATTCTGATCAGGGGGATTTAGTTCCTATTTGACAGGCACGGTATCATATCAGCCGCAGTTTAAGTATCTGGGTATTTAATGACTAAACTACGAGGTGCGGTTCCCATCACATTCGACTTGATTATAGACGTCAGAATCAGTGGATTTATCAAACACGTCAAAATAAGTACTGGCACCATTTGAAACCTGATCTGCGGCCAAATAAGAATCTTTAGAAAGCGCGCATCCAGTGGCCAAAAATCCTATAGGCAAGCAGAAGGAAATTAGTTGAGCAGGGCATTGCTAAGTTTCTCTGAACATTGAAGTCAACTTAACGGATGACCGAATGGACTGGCATTTCGAAGACCTTTATTCGACCCCAAAATGACAGCCTTCATAATTTGCTGTCGGCTTCTTTCCTGGTAAGGAAAATGAGGACTTTAAACGCCAAAGATGGGATACAAGCCATAAATAGCTTTACCCTGAAATCCGAGGTCTTTTGAACTGGGATATGAGAAGATGAATAAAACTGTTAACCGGTCATCATTTTGGGAAGCCGTCTTTTCCGCGTATTTTATTTGCCAAATCCCCACGGTTGATGCACTTCACTCGAGACAGTAAATCGAGTAAAGGCGCTATTCAATCTGTTCTCTCAAACGAGCGAAAAATGACGCTGAATCCCTCGTTGACACTGCTCCTTTAAGGTCTCGAAGAGTTTTCAGCGGCCTCATGAGTAGCGTGCACCCTCTAGGCACCGTGTGTGAGCCCAGCCAGGTCTCATTCTCAAACGGATTTTCAAAGGGACTCTGAACAAAAAAACACCTTGCGGTCATATTGTATATGCAAGCAGGAGACGGAAAATGTCGCGCAGTCCCCAGTTACGTTCATAATAATGATTTTGGTTGGTTAGGTACGTGCTTGCACCTGCTAGCACACTGCCGCGAAACTCTGCACATGATTGGTTGAGTTCATTGTGGCTCAGCGTAGTCCAGTCTGGTTGCTTGGTTGAATCAAATGATTCTGTGGCACAAAATAAAAGATGAGTGGAAGCATTCTTTCTATAAGTAAAGTAATTAGTTTAGGGAACTCTGACGAACGTCCACCTTCTGTATAAAATATGACCAAAGTAGAACCAAGCTGGTAAAATCCTTCAGAAATAAAACTTGAACAACACAGTGACAAGGACTCTGAACTTCCCGTGGGTCCGATTTTGCGTAAATGTTCTGAAATATTCTCCTTTCCAGGCAGTTTACATGTTGCTTCAACACGAATGCTTCATAGAAGGCTTTTTACTGTTCCATGGAGGCAGACTAAAAATCGGCGCATTACAAAATAATTGGGGGCATTTTGGAGACATTTTTTGCGGTTTTGACAAAAATTTGTTATTTATGAGGACTAATCGCCTTTACGGTTGCACGTTATAAAAGGATAGATTGTTGCCCATCGCTTGCAAATATATTGCCTTTCATTAAATTTCTTGCATCGTATAATTATTTCTGCTAAACAACGCCCAAAAATTGTAGCAGCAACGGTCAAAATTTCTCTTTGGGTTCTGAAACTTTTTACAAGATGGATCTTCGAAAGGTGTTGAGCAAGGTGAAAATGGTGAGGACCTAGCTCACTGACAAGTATGCAGAACCTAACTACTTTTGAATTAATTATTCGAATATGGGAGTATACCAAAAATCACAGTGGCAACTTGAAAACCTTTGGAGCTTACGACGGACGATTCTTGTCAACTTCGAACCAGAGAAGGAACATCTAAGCACAAATAACACGGGAATAAGTGCAGACGACATCGTGTATCCCGCGCAACGGTAGTTGTGTGCGCCATATATTGTAAGAGTACTGACCAGACGAACAACCAATATTAGTAATGCATGTATACCTACAACATACTTTGAGCTCGGTGTCTGCAACATCCTCTGCAGACGTAAATGGAGTGGACAAAGTGTTACCCACCAAGCTGACTAGAACATATAAATGAACCTCGCTGCTCTCGGCTGAACGATACTCATAAGTTTTCCTAAAAAGTTCAGCAGCCCATTGTCGGTTTCATCTCTCGTGGGGCTCATCAAGTGGCCCCAGTCTCGATTTTCCGTTAACGTCAAGTTATACTTGAAACCAAATTGTGCGCAATTTCATTACTGTTATTCTGATAATGCTGCTCATTAATTTGACGTCGTTGCGAATGCATTCGGTAAAACCTTATTAGAAAATCAGGTACACAGGAATTCTACGGATTGCTGATCCTGTCCTAATGAACTCTTGTTGGCATCAGTTGAAAATCATCCATTGGTCTTGTGTTTCATCTTCGTATAGCCTCAGAAACATCTACGCCTTTGAACAATATAAATAATGACTGGATTTTATGTGGATCAATCCAATGTCAAACCAAGCTGCGCTAGTCTAGTCCTAAAAATACTTACATCAACTTTTGTAACACTTGTTTAACACAGTTACTTGCAGGCTCCAGCCACATCTATAATGGGAGTGTACTGACGCTGGCCTACAAAATTTGAGGTAACGCCACCAAATGTAGACTCCTCCATCACACAGCTGTTTAACAAGTCAGCTGATTCGAGACATCTCCAATGAAGTTGACAGACGATATCAGTTGGGAGAAACACTGGGATAACTGATAAGTTTTGATATCGTCCTCTTTCTCGAACGCCATGTTTGTTTGTCTCTGCGACTCTTGGACGTTTCACTTCCGGGAAGTCCGTAACATTTGCAGCATGACTTTTATGTTAAGAGTCTACAACAAAGCGATTGCCTGCAGTCTCTATTGTTCGGTTTTCCTCATCTCTTACACAGCCGGGATTATTTTTATGGAATGGAATGACTTACTGATGGCAACATAAACTATGCGGTTCATATGGTTTCGACCATTAATTTACAGGTGATAGACGACACTCAGCTACCTATGGAGAACTTCCACGTTTTGTTGCAAATATTTGTTTGCTTTTGAGCCTGCAGAGGAATGACACACAGAAGAATTCAGCTCACAAAAAACCCATCGTTTGAGACTCATTGTTGTAATAACGCGAAAAATGAAACCACCACTCTAGTTCGCTATTCTTCTTGTCTGCTGGTAAAACCCCATTGATTATTTAGCCAACGGGTTTTTTCTCTGGACAGACTGTATGCTTCGGACGATGATTATCTCTGAATAGACATCCATCGGAGGTGCCTTCACAAACCACTGTGGATTTATGAGTCAGCCAAACTCATTCGCAAAGATTGGACCGCGATTCTATACCTACATTGGAGACCTGGAAAATATATCATTCCGTGTTTTAAACAAGCAAATGTCAGCCGTAGTTGGAACGGATCTCCCCTTCTTCGCATCGCTCTGATTTCTGTGGGGTGTAAGAAAGTTAGAAATATAGGGGACAATTGTATAGGTGTAACACATGAATCCTAGGGTTGCCAAAAACTCTTCAACAGCTCACGACCGGTTTCGCACTATTTGAGGGTCATCAAGTAGACTCAGTCCCTGAGTTTCTGTCAATCTTATGTTCTAC